GGGCTTCTGTGAAAGACCGAAGCTGTGACGTGCGACGACTGGAGCTGCGACGTGCGACGAGAGCTGCGGCGAGATCTGGGATCTGCAGCGGAAGCGACGGCTAGGGTTTTTTTTCAGATTCTGGCAGCTAGGGTTTTTTAGACTCTAGGGTTTTTCTAGCTCTGATACCATGTAGCTTTGTGAGAAGGGTTATATTTTCTTATCCTCATTACAACCCATTTAGGGGTAAATATACAAGAAGACCTTTGAACAAATAAGGAATTAATCTATGCCTATAAGGAAAATAATAAAATTACAGAATATACAGAGACATAATGTAAATTCTAATAAGGAAAAAAAACTTAATTTACGGCTTGATTTTCTACGCTTTTCATTAATGATTGAAAAGCTTAAAAGAAAAGTAACAGAAATCTAAAAGGGTAGACTAAGAAAGAAAAAGCAAAATAAAAGCAAAGCATAAATATAATTTTCAGAATAGTTTTAAGAAAAACTCAGCAGGCTCAGAACTCTTAGTGTACGTTTGGAATGACTTTTGAAAAAAGTATTTTTTAAATGAACACTCATTTTTTATACGTACTTTTGAACAATTATTAATTCAGACTATATTTAGTACAGTATCCTAAATGATTTTAGATGATTGAAAGTGTCTTTTAAAAACTACCATGTTTGGCAGTGAAGAAAAGATATTTTAAAAAAATCAGATTGATCTAAAAATACTTTTTGAAGAAATACTTTGAGAGATAATTATGCAAAAAAGTGACTTTAAAGTGACCCAAGTAGTTTACGAAGCACTGGAGAGATAATAAGAAAAATGTTTAAGCTAAATCTGGGAAATTTATCTTTCAGAAAGATGAAATTTTAACTTAGTTGATGGGAATTAGCACCACTGCAGAACGTTTTGGGTTCCGCTGCCATTCAATCTTAAATTGTCTTAAAATACCCTTAGTGACAGCAAGTTCAGAGTGGAAAATATTTTCCTAAAAAGTAATATTTCAGCAACCATTCTGAATTTTCTAGTTTCTAGTACTGTTTGTTTTATGAAATACTAAGCAAATATTTGATGTACGTTCCTTTTTACATATCTGCAGGTAAACAGAAATGGGAAACAATCAGCTACGAGTGAAAAAATCAGAACACAGGGTAGCATCTCTCTTATGCTCATGCTTAAAAGAAATCTTCGAATCTAGTAAGTCCACTTTCTTTGAAATTAAACATTGTATAGTTGGTTCCAAAGTAGGAAAATTGACATCTGAACTCCTTGGTTATCATTTCCAGTGGTACAATGTTTGTGTATTCTTCTTTGGTTTCTTGATTTGGGTTTGTAGTTCTTTTTCTCCATTGACATAATAAGTAAAACTCAATCTAAAATGATCCTTAAATACCTTTTCAACCCTTGGGTGCTTAGGTTGTTATACATGTGGTGCCTTGTCTGGCTGCTTTTCAATTTCATTTTCTTTCTAAATTTCTGTCAGTTTTTTTTCTCTCTCTTTGACACTGACACTTTAGTTGGTTATGCCATGAACACATTTTATGAAACGATGAAGTATTCATCTTTTTAATTATTTTCTTAGGATTTTTTTGGAAAAGATAAAATTTAGTAAGCCAACTAACGTCACAAGGTCTTCGAATTGGAATTTAAGCAGCAAGCCATTTGTCAATTGTCTCAACTGATATCCTCCTTTGACCCAATTCTTGGGTAAAGACAAGTCTTTGGGCTTCAAACATTGTTAGAACTGATATCCTCTATATTTTCAGCACTCTTGATATACCAAGCGAAAGTTGCAAACATATGAAAGCCTCGGAGAAATGGGGTTTAATCACAATAACTGATCTCATTGGGGAAATGAGATTTAATCACTGATCTCAATGACAAGCCCCAAAGGGTAGCCTAGTTGGCAAGAGTTTGGAGTCTCTTTGTCATACTGGTTTAAAGGTTCCAGATTTGAATCTTTTGGTGAGTTTAATACCATAAATCCTCGATGTTTCCTAGGTTTGGGTCTTGGGGCGGGATGTTATAGCATATCTTTTGAATTGAAGATACCATTTTAGAGGGGTGTTATTTCAATTGGTTTGTTTAAGGTTTGGGTGAGTTTCTAGCAACCCAATACTCACTTTCTCCCACCAAACTACCCCAAGTTAGTCCTCAAATCCATCTTCAGAAAGTATTTTAATTTTGAGATCCTTAAAAGCTAAATTCATTCGACTTCTATTAGTTAAATCGATTAAATGGTCTTGATTTGATTTGATTGGTTTTGATTGATTTCTTCAATTTTAAGTTGCTTTCTTGATTCAAAGATTTTTAGATGCTTGAATTACAAATAAAGTTGTTGAGGGAATAGACCTGGGTATTTAGTGTTATGTCATCGTTTTGTAAGGTATGGAAAAAAAAAAAAAAACTTGCTGAGCTTAACGTGAAATAAGTATAGTTTTGTTTCCCTCAATATTTAGATTTGACATTAATGTAATTCTAATTGCAGTTTTCTCAAGAATCTTTGGTATTAATGTTCTTGCCTTTTCGATTTTTTTGTTTACATATATTTTTTTTTTTGGAATTATTATGTTTTCATAATCTTTTCACCCGTCTCTTTATTCTCATTTTAATTTTATATCAAATTAATTATAAATATTATTAATGCAATTAATTCACTAATAGAAACCCCTATGCAATTAATGACATTAAATCGAAAATATTTAAAATGTAACTTAGATCACGTGATGAAATTCAACACGCAATCCGATTGAACCTTAAATAAATTATACTTTAAATATGTCATTAAATCATATGATCATTGTATCCCAATTTTGCCATTTGGATCACCAATAAACTTGATTAATAGCAACTTGAACATAACTCAATTGGTTAAGACATCTATTTTTTAATCAAAAGATTATGAGTTTGAATTTTCATCCACATGTTCTAAAAAATAAAAATAAAAACTTGATTTATTGACACACTAAAGTTCCCTATTTCTAAATCTTTCTTTAATACCATTCAAATTGAACTTCATACTCAAGGTGGTTGGTAACTGTATCCTCATAACATGGAGGAGAGAAATCCAAAAATGTTATGAGTTTTAACCACAATTTGAATATCGATGTTGATGTCTCAATTTTGTAGAAATATCGATCACTACAATTGAAATTTAATATCCTGATTTTAATCATGTATATTATTACTAGAGATGATCCAGTTATAGCAGTGGGCCCATATTAGTCTTCATCGTAGGATTTAGGAGCAAAGAAATGACGACGATGGTTAGATCTTCATCATAAAAGGAAAAGAAAAAAAAAACCCATAATTGTATTTCTGGTGGAAGCCCAAAATCATCAAAAGTACCAAGCTTGTAAGACCAGCAAAGTTGGTAGTTCTTTTAGCAGTTGCCCCCACCACCGCCGCCACGACAACCACCGTTGCCGCCACCGCACCGCCAACCTCCACCACCCACCAACTCATTAGGATTCAAAGTCAAGCAACCACTTTTTCGTTTGCAGATCAAAGGGAGTTATGTTATTCCTTTCCACTCAACTAATTAAACTAATCATTTTCCTTTTTCTCATTTTAAATATAATTACAAAAGAATCAGTACTGTACAAGTGGCTTGGAAACTTGGGTTTCCTGTTTCTTAACAAAAGCGCACCTCAAAATTTGTAAGAATTAAAGTTCCTCTTTTTTCTTTCTCAACAGTATATATTACAAAAATTGTGAATGAAGAAACAAAACACGAGAGGGGAAACTAAATGTAATGAAAAAAGAAAAACAAACAATGAAAAACAATCAATGTCCAATTCAAGGTTGAAGATGGAAGCAATGTATCGGAGGCGGCGGCTCCGGTGATGAAGTCCGGCAGCCACGAACCGCTGAACAGCACCGATGGCCCATCTCCTCCGCCGGATGGGTCTCTTTCAGATTTTTGGCTGAAAAAAATGAAACAAAAAAAAACAGATTCTTTAGAGATAAAAGAGAGGATCATGAGGAAGATGACTGTCAAAATGGTCACTTTACAGGTAATGATTCATCTTTTTGATGTTGTTAGATAATGTGAAGAAAAAGAAAGCAATGTGAAAGCCAAAAGGGTAAAGAACGGACGAGAAAACAATCCCATAAAAAAAAAAATCATTCAATATAATATCATCTAATAACTTTTTTATACAAATTTGAATCACAGTTTTTAAATTCTTTACTGCCCAATTCCTCTTATATTAAAAATAGGACATAGAAAGAAGAATAGTTAAGTGCTCATCGATTGTATAGACTTCAAAAAAGTTATCGAAAGATAGGTATTGACCCGAGAGTAGAGGAGTATTTTCTCTTGACAACAAAATGGAGATACCTTGCAGAAGAAGGGCAAAATGTAATGGTGTAATCAGCTCCACTACAAGTGAAAGTGCTTGTTGCGTCATCGAAGGCGTAGCTATACGATTTCGGGCACGCCGATTTGAACATTTCCGAGT